GTCTAACGGTTTGGTAGTTATTGGCCAAAAACGAAAATTTGGAAGAAATTGAAGGGGTACCCCTTGGAAAAATCTCGGAAAAATCGAAAATTTTTTTTTGTTGTTTATTATTAGCAATGTCCTTCCGACGTCTGATTTCTTTTTAAAAAATGCGTTTCTAAAGTGCATAAACTTTTGGGATTGACTGTATAGCCAATACATCCTTAAGTATGTTCGGGCTTTCTAACAACGTTCCAAACTTCCAAAAATATTTTTGAGTCTTGAAAATATAATGATTTTCGTAAAGATATACGAGAACCCGATGCTCGGACGGGTCGGGAATGGTTCGGAAATCATATAGTATACGGGATGTCTCAACCGAAAGACGTCACCTAAGTAACTCTTCTGTTTCTTACGTTATGAAAAAGGTTCATAACATAATTTAAACAGTTTCGAAAACATTCGAAATTTTCAAAAACCTAACTACGCCTTCCGTTCCGTTCTGATCATTGGGTTCTCAACATTTTTTCGCACATCTCTTATATGTATATCCCTATCTCCATAAATATTTATGAAGTCGCAACTGCAAACCGTTTGTATCAAAAGATTCGTACAAATCTTTTAAACATTCTGAATGATTTGAAAAATAAATTCATCAGGGACCTATGTATTTTACACATAACTCCTGTTCACTGTTAGATGATATTTATTACGGAGTATAACTGCTATGTCACTATAACTGCATAATATATGGAAAACCGGAAGAAGTTTCGAAAGATCGTATAACGTTCAATACGTTTGATATAAATATCGGAAAGCTATCTGACGATATCCGGTCTTAACTAATTCGCTCGGATTGTCAGAGACTGTGCTTCCGTAAAATGAAAGAAGACACGGAAAACGGACTAAATTAGTTCCTCGCGGCCGGATAAGTGCTTCCGGCATTCCAAACTGACAGACACCCGCAGTCGTATATTTCTTATTAATTAAAATTACGATATCCGTGTCGGGATTTCCTACCATGTATAGTTTATGTAACGCATCCGCTTTTTTAATTCCGTAAACAATTCAATTATACAGCGGTCATCATAGTAATTATGGAATTAAGGTAATCATGTGAATTTTCTAACGTTTGTCAGTAATTTTTTCACATTTTTTGCTCTATTTCCTGAATAACCCGGCAAAAGCAGTGCAAAATATGAGTTGACATCATTCGATTTTTCGTCCTTATATTAAAAAACTTTCAGGTCGTCAAGTACCTCTTTGGAAAGGTAAAACTTAAATCTATGACTCTTTGGTCTTTATTTCATTCAGAACAACTTTTCCTCGACATAAAAGTAGTTACACTCTAAAATATTGTAACTACGATTTTACTTCACTTTGCGACGCTTATGTTATTAAATATATCTGTAAAATCGCATTAAATAGTAACTAGCACGTTTGAGATTTAAGTTCCAATTTTTTTAAAAGATATTGAAAGACCCAAAGATCTTTTTAAAAGGACGAAAAACTAAATGACACAAACACTTATCTTTGGCCAGTTTGCTAGGTAACATTGACACTTCGTCTAATCGCGCCACTATCGGAATATACCTCTTTAAGTATACGGTGAGGAAAAGTAAATTGATAAGAATTTATCTAAACAAATTCTATCTTTCTTTTTTAGGTGTCCGTAGATTCTCTGCTTGATAAATGCTCGGAAGAGTCGCTAATAGTACCGGAACAGTACTTGAGGTACGAGGGCGAGTACGAGGGTGAAGGCGCTGGCTATTATGACGATAACGATTACCCTATGCCGTCTATTGGAGCAATTTAATTAAAGAAATGAACGTAGTATAAAGTATCCTTCCTGTAGTCCCTCTGCGGTAAGTACACTTATTAGAAGATGATAATGAACCTATACGAACTTGGAATTTGATTTTATAATAAAGAGACCATCGAAACTTTGCAAAAATAAATGTCATCTCGTTTTTCATAATAATAAATGTAATTATGCCACAGCCTAACAAAATATTTTATTAGGAAGGGAATTGCGAAACAACTGCAGCCAAACGTTTGGTACAATTAAAAATAAAGATATATAAAACTAATTTATAAATACAATACAAAACTTATAAGATATGATTCGATTACACGTTGCGTATAATTGCACATACGATGTAGTATGAGTATTTCATGGTTGGGCAAAAAGACGTCATGTTTTTAAGCAGTTTATTAGGAAATTATAATAACAAGTGTGCGTATGTGCCCATAATATTAGACAATATAGAAGAATGTATTTTACAGGCACGCGTAGGTCTTGTTGGAAAGTTGTAGTTCTTAACGTTTCAAATGTACGTATATATAAGTATGTGTATACGCGTGTTACGAACGTTTATTACAACGAGTACCAGCAACAATTTGAACACGGGTCTCGCGTTCGTATATCAGCTAAGCATACGCTCGTATCAATTATAAATCGTAGTCTAGCTTGATTTTATTCGAAAGATCAAATCCTCCTCGTAGTCATGAAGATTTCTCGTGTCCTACAAATTGTTGAATGCACAAGCTCTCTCGTTTTAAAATTTTTGTTGCGTGCAAGCGAGTATGTACGTGTGTATGCGTTTTGAGATTATGTTCATCGATGGAAACGCATGTAATATATACATAATTTCGTATATATATTATATTTATGTATAAAGAGATCTAGATAGAGAGAGGTGGTTTCGAGATATATTTACAATATCTGAACGGGACTTAAACAGGAAGACACAACGTTGCTTTGAAAAAATTCAAACAAAGAAATATGAAAGTGGAAGAAACGTTGTTATATTAATAAACATTGACAAATATATATAATGTGTATATATATATTTTTTT